GAAATATCGCGAATACACTCCAACATAATAAGTCATCGTACCTGAAGGATTCGAGACGTAGCTACATTGAAATATCTTGCACACAGTATTCAACAAATAGAAAGGTCAAGTGATCTCGCAATAATCTGTATCCAGATTGAATCTTCAATTACCAATAGATAGAACTTTAATGGGGAGACTTGGATATAAATAAGAGATCTACCTTATTGACTAGTGAGATGCCAAATACAGAATATTCTGTAGCCCGGTATGTAAAGACGCACACTGTGTTTCATTAATAAGCAGCACCCGAGGCTCAAATAAAATGACCAATGGGTCTGATCGAGGTATCTGTTGTTTAAGGAACCGTGCGTTATTGAGAAGCACACTGTTAATTTATGGTAAGCTTTCTAACCTACTCTATAATTTATGCTTTAGCTGTTATAAATACGGAGGTGTAGGAAGTATGGTCGCATTTGGTTCAGTCAGTATAAAAACTTGTTGTCAGCCAGTCTCCTTTCCTAAGTGAGGGTTTGCGCACTTTGTCCGTAATCTCATCTGGCTTGTAAACACGCCTGGTGGAGGATGGTACCAGGCCGCACCGATCCGCATTCAGTCGGCTAGTTTATGCGTCAGGTACTATTAGTGAAGTTTCCGTCCGTTCAGAATAGGATGATGGAAGCAATTAAGGCGTCGATAACAAGTATCTAAATGCAAATCGTATCTTGTGTCTAGTGTATGTATCGTCGCGCACTAGTGGCTTGACAACGCTCCGCGGAAATGCTCACGGCCTAGCCACAATCATGGCATAGGGGGTTGCACTAGCACCCTGCATCTGCATACTTCAGGTTGCATTAGCCTGCTCGACACGTCGTCTGAACATCGTTAGAATTGGATTGAATGAAGTCCTGTGTGGTTTGAAAATCACCGAGTTTGATTTGAAAAAGGGTCCACTGTAAGGGGAAAATGTACGATTAGTCTGTTGAACTACAGAACAGACCAGTTACTCGCGCATCCTGTAAGAGGCCGCAATGGTTGTCAGCTTAAATAGACGGATTATCATGCTACTACGTAGCTAACAGTAGGCACACAAACTAGGAACCCGGTAAGTGAAGCCACGTCTCTGGGTGTTAAGGATGCACACGTTAGTGGAATTACTGCACTCTTTTTGGCAACAACAGCTGTAAAATAGTTTGTCACATTGATAAAACTTGAAGCATACTCCAATAACTTTACTAGGCTACTGAACTACCCAAATACAGCCCAGAAAGTCTGATTCGAATGCTTTACGGATGCAATGACTACTTGTTCTTCGAGCAAAGCTGTCCCACTTGATTTCGATAAATATGAAGCGGATGGAGGTTACCAAAAAGCCGATTTTTCTGTACAGAAAGGTTTCGAAATATTTAAACCGCACCAACTCGTAGTAATTGGGGAGCCTTGTAGGAGTAACTATGCCGATTGATCTAGTGCAATCACTCAGGCAACTTGACTCTGTCGCTTGAGACCAAAACCACAGAGGGAAATGGGTAGTCAAAAGGCAAGTGCCCAGCGTAGACCGACCTGGTGAAATGGCAGACGACAAATTCACTATATAGTCAACGATTCGTAAATCAACTTAAGCAGAATGCCCACCCGTTACGTCAAATTCAGAAAGATAAACAAAACAAGAAGCTTTAAGCGAACAATTGTTTTCGATTAATTCTTCGTCAAGCTCATACAATAATATACATTAGGGTAAGGTCTGTTGCAACAGCGAGAACCTACTTTGCAGCTGAGCTCGGTGCAACCTTCACTTCTATGCCAGTCATGAGTCAGCACCTCAAGGACAGATTGCCGAGATCGAATATTTCCTTCTGTGGGTACCATTTTTCTTGCTCGTGTTGAGCAAGTTATATGGAAAGACGACCAGGAGACTGTATGAGAGAGTCCGAGAACATTGCCCGGCGTGGCCCTACAATGATGTCAGAAATACAGTAGTCAGCGCGGTGCTGGGGCATTTGGCTGACACAAATCACCAAGTGAATGTGCGGGAGGCCTTCCGACTCATCTACAAGATAGCTGGACGCCACACGCGAGCCGTCCGATGTCGCCTCTTGGCGACAGCGGAAGCAATCGCTATTCGGCTCCATAACCCCGACTTATGTGCTCAAAAGAAGTCTGTACAGGTTCTGCAGCTGTCATGGCATCAAGCTTCCTCATGTTATGACACCACGTTTGACCCTTCCACTAATGATGCCCAAGCCAGAGTGGTCACTTGATCGCATTAACCGGTCATTTCACTTCATTGATTCATCGTATTTAAGTACACTGTGTTTGTTTTATTCCAATTATCCGTGGTGTAATGGCCTGATGCGAACCACCGAAAACAAGCTTGTTCGCCTAGCTGTTTTTTGACTCTGTCGTCAGTATAACAAAGAAACAACTGATCAGAAAATTTAACTTGTGATCATAATGGCAGTCATCTGACCACATGACTGAAGTCAGGTGGAATTGCGGAGTACCATCATTTAATTCCCGTCTGATGGTCGGTCACGGAAGTTGTAGTGTTTGTATCATCTTTTTCTGGATATACAAGTCCGGGTTTGTCAGGCGTATGCATACTGCCTCAGTGGTGGCAAGTAGGCTTGCTCTTAAAAGATGGTTAGGCCTTGGTGGTATTCCGTAGAGAATCTGAAAGGATGTTTGTTTGTTTATCAGGCGGCTTGTGTTGATTAGATTGTTCGTAATCGCGCCGTAGTTTGTCCTGTTCGCGCGATTGTACAGCCAACTTGGGAGGTGTTCTTTTATTCTCTTACCTAAATATCTGGTCGTCCGTACAATGTACCTGGTCCCGCACGGGCAGGTAAATCCACACACTAACCGAAACAATGCTGTCGCGTAAGAAGGGAGTTTTCGATGAAATAGATAAAGAAAAGCGTAAAATTTCAGTACACACGTGCGGTACCAAACAATCGATTCTCTGCCTGTAGATCTGCCACCTGAGGGTGCTTGCGATGAAATTACCTAGAACATGGTCAAATTATTCGCACCACCGCTCACACTAAGTCAGCAAGTTCTGAGACATAATTATGATGCGAACGAACGGCCTGCCGGCTGTGTGAAGATGGAGGACATGTTATCGGGGTTAAGCTTTATGTGTGTGTGTGTCAAAATCGATTAGCAGGAACCCTACATGACCAGTGATTGCTCTGCCACCGAAGCTACTGTCACCTCTCTAGCCCATGGGTGTTAGGCTCTTTCTCGAAATATGAGAGTTCCATGAAATGCGCTGCTGTGTGTTGTCCCTATGGATAAACCGCAGGTCCATGTAGCGCGACTGACGCTGAGCAATATTTATGCTAATTCCAGAATTCTAAGCGAACAAACCTAGTTAATACCATGATTCCCTTAAAACGGTTCAATGCGGACCTATTGATAGAACGATGTTCATTCATTTTGAATTATTCACGACCATTTCTCCCTCGAAATGTAACACTGATGCAGTCGGCGAAAGTAATGAGCAGTAGATGAAGATTTGAAAATTACAAATGAATGAACTGAGCCCACATTAAGAAACCATGTCACAAGATGAATGTTGCTGGAACCCGGAGGAAATCCAAGCGCACTTTCATCCTTCCGGCAAAGCAATTCGCGCCATTGGACAGTTAGAAATTCAGCGTACCGGTTGTACGTCAGCACCTGAGCGTAGCTGCTCTTAGCTCCGGAGCACATTCAAAAACACCCGGTAGTCAAAAGAATGGGATTTTAGAGGAAAATATTCGAAGATTTCTTCGTAGTAGCTTCCAAATCAGTGTTCTTTACATAGCCAGAAAAGGAGTAGATGGTCGTCTCAACCCGGTGTATATAGTCAGCAGCTTATGTGAAGATTCGTCGCCGTTTGACTCCGGCAGCAGCCGTCATCCATCCAGGAAAGCGCTAAACGGCCAGTTCGTCCTATTGGGACGCGTTAGCAGCACCCACCAGGTGAATCCTGCCGAATTCGAACCCACGATCTTACTCTTGCGAGCCAGCGACATATGGCACTGAGCCATGGGCGACGGCAGCGCACCGCCATGATTGTTGTCTAACTACGACATAGCGCAGCTCGCGCCCCACTGTCATGCATTTTATGAAGGTGCAGAGAACACGGCTGACCCCCAGAGCAACGACTTCTTTGCAAGCCACCACCAATTGAGGTGGCATGTAAGCTGCTAAGGCGACTACTGATTGGTTGCAAGTAGTAGAAGGATTTATCCCCCTACTACTTCGTCAGCAGTGTGCATCCATCAGGATCCGAATCCATGATCACTAGCGGCTTACGCCGCCAGTCAACAGCTTATGCCATTTAACCATGGGGAACCGCGTCGGACTGTTACGGTTTACAAACTGTCAGAAAGACTGCGCATCTTATCCTTCACTACCATTTAGCCGTATGCCGGGGTTTAATACTTCTATATTGTTCCTGATCCGACCGTGCATGGGATCAGCTTGTCGTCAAGTAGGGAAAAATGTCATTTCTATGTATCTTCTGTAGGCCCCAAAAGGCTAGTTCCACTGATGTAAATATGTAGGTCACGACTAAAGCTTTCGACTGAGCATACTCTACAGATCAACACGATCCTCTAATCCGTCAGCTCATCCTATATAGGTGTAATGAATACGCTGGTCTGCGCTAGCGTGTAAAGAACCTCGGTTAAAGCCCCGTTATCGGGGTTGGGTTGATTGTGTCATCATCAATGACAGATGCAAAATATTCAGCCGTAATTCGACGACATGTGCCACTAAGTCCGGCACAACCAACCTGGAAGCACATGCATTATAGTGCGTCCTCCGTAGCAGCCGAGCTTGGAATTCCAGAACGTATACTACTACAAATCATGCATACGAAAAAATCAGGGGGAGAGGGTGAACTGCGGTGTACTGCAATGCTGTCTCTAAAACAAGACTTTTAAAGTATAATTGCTGCGACAACGGTAACAGTGGTTAGCAATTTCGCTAGGAAAACCTGCTGCATTAAGAGACAGTAAAGAAGTCAAATATTGATGAAGTCAGCTGTGTTGGTGAACGTAACGCAATGGATAAAATTCAGCTACAACTCCATGTCAAAATGTTAGCTGTATCGCCGATTCAACTCGTTAGATGAACGATCGAAGCGCTGACGTCCGAATGACGATGAACGCCTCTTCTGATACGGTGAATAATCAGAGTGCGACTCGAATGAGTCCAGGTTACTGGAGTTCCGCTTGACAAATTGAACGATTGGTTTTGGCACTGAGTCCAAACCACCTTCGGAGGACTGCACAATCCGGAGGATATTGCGAAGGATAGAAGGTGAACATCTGTTTAGTAGAGTTTCGTTCACGACGGTGATGGCTTCACCCGGCTGTCCCATTCGACCTGTGCGTCCTATGCGATGGACGTAATCGTCTGCATCAGGAGGTGGTCCGACATTCACTACAGCAGTCACGTTCGGAATGTCCAGCCCTCGAGAAGCGACCTGCAAATGCAGTGTACACATGCACAGAAACGTCAAGGCTGGGTAAGAATTATTCGTGGAATGCAACGAATTCACCAAGGGTTGATACAATGTATGCGAATATGAGGTGAATGACAACTTATCAATTGCGCTCGACATGAGGGTTTCACAGCATGAGCACGGTCTTATAAATGTGAAAACTGATTTAGCTAGGATGAAATTGACGAACGATTTGGACGAAATGAAAGTAGATGCCATCAAACAACACAGTTATTGGCAGAAAAGGGGAATACAACTGCTGTAATAAAAGACTGAGACAAACGTTAAAATAATGCACGGATGCTGAACAGATCACCAACGAACACGATGCAGAGTTGGACATAAGATAAAGGCGGAGGGTATTAACTGCAGAAGGATTAGAAAAAAGTGAAGACAGACCGTTTTGAAGCTAAACACCATCGAAGTGCGATGGATTCGGTTGTCACAATTCGTGTCGCCGACATGACAATAAAAGGCAATTACTTATGAGTAGAAGGATTTTGGCGAGTATTTTTGTTCGTCGCAGTCAGCCGACAATTCAGATAAGTCAACTACCTATCCGGAAAAGAACCGGACGGCCGTTTCGCCCTATTGAGGCTTGTCAGTGGTGCGCATCCTTCGGTCCTCTACGGAGGATCGAACCCGATTCAAAGACAATGTTGGGAATATGAGGTAGAACACAAACCGAATGTAAAAGCAAAAGTAAGAGAGTAGAAACTAAAACTAACCAAGATGGAATATTAAAACGGAAATTAGAGAAACTGATTCCAGAAGCGCCATAGACTATGCCGCTGTGTCGTGTTCGGGAGTCTCCGACCATTGATGTGCGGATTGAATTTCTTCGCGTTGAAGCCAGCGAAAGTACTGTGCTACGGAGACAGTAATTATCAACAGAATCGGAAAGCTGCTGTTATCTTCTGTTACAATTCAACGGACACTATGACAATTCGGTACAAACACACAAACACTGTTCCGGTCTCATGGGTTTCCTAACACTGCACCGGGTCCGACAAAATCCGTATTTATGACGAACCTTGGTATACCGCTGACATCGGTGGAGTCTGAACGAACAAAGGCAAGTTAAATGGTATTCACTGCAGTCCCAACAAAGTGACGGGAGTGTCTTCTTATTGACGGAAAGCGGCAGGTGACTGGTGCTTGCAAAACATTTGGGAGCCTACAAAGAGTGGATTGAACCGAGAAGGCGGTCACTATTTGGAACCTTGGCCGTATCGTGTTTCAGATTAATCAGGCAAAGGCATTCAGTAGATACACTCTGCAACATCATCTGAGGGTGCTGAACAAATGATTAAGTGCCGCATACGTATAGCGGCATCCTCTGGTGACTGAAGACCGCATATGAACACGAGGCATGTAAACTAGTCGTCCGTGAGGGAGCGTAGTTTGCATCTCGTTCACATTCGCGATTAACCACATCGGTATATGTGGCAAATTCGTTCACGTCACGTTTCACAAGTTTGAGATACTGGTAACGAATATCGAAAAGTGATGACTGCTCATCAAACAATTGTGTAAGTGTTTACATTGTCGAATGACCGGTCGCGGGGGTTCTGTGGTAAGAGGTAATAAGAATAATTGTCACGCTCGACGAAACCGAGTTTGCGGAGCAGGACCGAACAAAAATTCGGTGATGTTATTGATAGTTTGTTCCCTGGAATCAAAAATGAAAAATGTTGTAGGCTATCCTATCAAGGACATGGCGTCCGGTAATCAACTCCATCAGCCACATCTGCTGCTGCAGTACCAACTTGATATCGGCACAGTTGACATCGATTGGTAAAGAGACCTCCGTCACCAAGTTGTTACGATCAACGGCCATTACCGCAATTCGGCACGAACACATGCAGTCACGGTCAAACACACAAAAGGAACACAACTCAGCTCACAAAATCACATCAATTCGGCTTCCAGTCGATAGCCCTAACTCCAACAAAGCAGAAAACAAGACCTCAGAACGAGATCAGTTCAAATGACAAATCACGTGGGTATAATTAGACCTACTCACGGTCTTGAGGGATTGGCCGATTACGGTGCATACCCGAGATGGAAACGAATTTGCACGCGCCGTCTTAAAACCAAAAAAACGGTAATAACAAGTTATTTTTGTTGGTTCCAGTGTGATACTTGGAAAAAAGACCTTTTCTCAACACCTTCAGTAAAGGAAGATGAAGCCATCGGAACCGAGTCACTTTGTGTCCAGCAATTTTTGTGTAATTGTGGAGTCAATTACATCGGCAGAACCGACCGGGTTTTGGGTCTAGAGTGAAGGAACACTTACCAAACTGGGTTCAGCGCGAAGTTCGTGAATCACTCTCCGACGATACGTACTAGCAGATGCCACCGGCGTCATCCATAAGCTGGCACATTTTGGCGACCTGACACCCTTACCGACATCTAAGATCTTGTTGCGTCATATAAATTTAGGCTTTTTGCTATTTGCAAACGCTGTCGCGATAAGGCTAATTAGACCAGCTTGGTGCACCCAAAAACAACTAATTGTCAACCTGCGGTTGCCGAGGTCCTAGTGGAAACAACAATGATCACAACCATCAACGTGATCGGCTTGATTATACCCTACGACAGATAAAAAAGATTTTTGGCTATTGTATTGGTAATGACGAGATAATACAAAATGCTAGCATCTGCCAATGTTTGTCTGTACACGGCGCTATCCAGTGACGTTTGCATAACCGTTGAGGCCAGCACATCGTATCAGTGCTTCGCAGCCACGTGATCACCACCAGTCAAGCGGGGACGGTCTTACTGCGAGGTCGGATCGTCCGCACCCTGCGCGAATTCGATACGGGGATCTCCAGATTACAACGTAGAGGCACAATCCTTTCGGTCACCGGGAGAAAGGAACCCCATTGCAAGGAGATGTTAAGTATTATATTCGACATTGGAAGTACACATGAGAAAGCAAATTAGTCGATCGCAGCATTTCACAAGCGGCAAGTGAAGACACTTCATGCTCCGATCGCAACTAAACACATGCGAACTGAAGCTGAATTCAGTGATAGAACAAATAAACAGAGTTAGAACTGGGTGTATCGTCCAATCACTTGAAGAAAAACTAGCCTACACATAAGAATTCATACGTACAATATTTGGTTGAGGTCACGCAGATCGACGAGTTAAACCATACTGAGACAAACATTCAGTTATTGTAATAGATAGTACGCAGCACGAAGATTTTCATGTGGTGATCAGCAAGATGTCCTTTGGTGATTCGTTGGAGGGTCAAGGGAGATTGAATCGACTTCGTCGGCTCTGACGTATGTTCCGAATGCCTACAAGCCGGATATCACAATGTGTAATGCCTATCAGTATTACAACTAGATCGCTGAAATCCCAGTGATCGGCCAAGGATGTGGCAAGTACATGACGAAATCCATCGGAAGACCGAGTCGGATTGGTGCTCCCCATCTTCCTTCAGCCAGTGGCTGGACGCCTTATGGGATTTGGCGCGGTCACAGAGTCGCAGTTAGGATCCCCGATTATTCCATTTGTGTAAGTGGAAAATTCCCATTTCATTATCAAGAACGAAAGACCGAGGGTGAACAATTATTTTCGATGATTCATCTTCAGACCTGTCAAATCATATGGGTGAAATCGCAATGGGCAAGTACAAGGGGATTAACGATCAGTTCAAATGAGATTGATCACATGTCGATCAAAGGAATGAACCAGTAACAAACAGCAAACTAGGGCTGAGGTACCGTTGCACAATTGCAGTTGCTGTCCGAAGGATCCGTTTTGGCTGGCCAAGGTAGCTGAACAGCTTCGATCAGCTTCTTTTGTGCACACAAAAGAGGTTGGTACAACCGAATGCTGATCGCCTCGGCAGTAGCAAGGGTCCGGAGGCGCAGGCCTTTCGATTGGAGTGGAGGGACCCTGTACAGTATTCGAAAGGCACTGACTGGGTCAACCTCATGCCCACTATCAACCAGATGAGCCATAACTGAGCTAGTTATAGCTCCAGTACCGCCTCGACGCAACCAACGTGGTAGGTGCTCCTTTATGCGTTTCGAAAATTGCCGCGCCGTTCGACCGATGTAATTAGCGCCAGAAGCGCACTTGAACTGATAAATTACCATAGAAGCGGTCAGCGTCGGTAACTTGTCTTTGTTGTAAATACGGATGAGTGGCTCCGTGGAAAAGGTACACCTAAGTTTGGCTGTTGGAAAAGTTGACTTGACAGCTGTTGAAAGGCTTCTAGTTACGCGCTCAGCAGCGGCGTCTCCCTTGAAGGGTAGTCGTATGAAAAGTTCTTTTTTCTCTGCTGGTCGGGCTTACTTTGCATGTTCCTCAAAATGAAACGATCAGGATATCCGTTTTCGCGCAGCAAATTCTGAATGAGCGTCAACTCATTATCCAACTTGTCTTCAGAACAGATCCTGTGGGCCCTTGTGGTTAGACAGCGAATTAGATTTCGCTTATATCTCAACGGAACGAAACTGTGAAAGTTGGTATACTGGCCACTCCAGGTTTTCTTCCTGTAGACCTGCCGTTGGATCGAGCCGTCTGCCCTTCTAGTTAACAGCACATCAAGAAACGGCAACTGATCGTGCAATTCCTTTTCGTAGGTGAACTGCAATGATCCGTGGGCCCGATTAAAGCGGTCAATAACAGCGTCAAGATCAACAGACTGGTCGGCCACGACAAATATGTCGTCCATTTGTGGCAATGTATATTACTGAGCACTTCTCTTGTGCTAATTGTATTATGACTAACTAGTTACCACAGAGATGAGTGTCAAGGCAACTGGGTCAAAGTCAACAGGACAAACTGATTGGAAGTGAACACAAACTAAGAAGTCTGCGCTAAGCAGCTAGAAACTTCCCATGAGAACTGGGCTGAGAACAACGGTTTGCATGTCCGCTGCGTCGCGAAGAAATATCACAAGCAGCTTTTCTCCTAAACCAATGTCCAAGCTCTGGCTTCAGAGCCGGTAGACGAGTTAGAGGATGGTAAACGAAAAGAGTGAAAAAAACAAAGACCAAACTACTGGATGTTTCCTTTCGTAACGCACTGTACTGCAGGACCTATTTTGCACCCGTATGCGCTTATCGGGTAAAGATATCGGGATTACAAATAGAAACCAAAGCAGTTAGGATGTCAGATGAAGCCGTGGCGGGCAATATCCAAGGCTTACTTAGTTGCTTCCAGTGACCAAACTTTACTTTCACGTGAATCACCGGCCTGATTGAGATATGAGAGTCGCAATCCTAGTTTATACACGGTCAGTAGCGAAAAATCCAAAAATGTAAAGCACAATCAATTTGTGGAGAACAATTGGGGTGAAAATGTAAGGAACGAAAGACGACGCAAGCGAAAGATAGGTAAACAAACCGAGGATGCAACTAGAATTCGGACGATGCCTTTACGGAACAGATGCAACGCTTGTGTTCGATGCGTTTGCGGCTTGTCCCCGTGAAGAGCGGCAGACTTGAGGCCACCGCGGTACAGAGCTGCGTCGATGGTGTCAACTTCACGCTTCGTGTTGCAAAACACCAGAACGCGGGACACGTTGCCGGATCCGGCAACATTGGAGGAGGCTGGTCAGAGACAGAAAACAACGTGTGAGAGAAATGGGGTTTTCGAAGTAGGAAACAAGTTCGAAGAAATGAAATACTGTAGAAGCAGTTGTGAGAAAGGTCCGAAAACGATTTTGCAGAAATCATGGATTTTTACCCAGTTTTATGGCATTCTAAGGTTTCAGTTCAGTTACAGGCATCGAAGTGCAGTTGGGTCTGGTTTGCCATGATTCAAGCCAACTGTATAACAACAACTAACAATGATGAGAGAAATTAGGTGAAATATAAAGGAAATGACGTTAGGTAAATCGTGAGTAAAATGAATCGCAGCGGAACGTCAATAGCTGGATTCGAGAAACCACACAAAACTAGGGCATGCAAGATTAGGGGGGCTCATTGGAAGATGTTCATGGCGATAATGCGGTTGACACACCGGTGGCGCTCATGTGGGCACACGTGCTCTACTTCACAGCGGCTTTATTTGTTGTGTCCCGCAGTTGTGTTTCGACGTGAACGTCGCTGAGACTCATACTCTTCAACTAGTACCACCAGATTTAGGGATACGCTAAACGCTTACCACAAGAGACCGGTGCGGTGCGACATGACATTGCACAGCCAAAAGCCAGTGTTTATTGCTCCACAGTCGGTGACTCAGCCGCTAAGCTGCACATATATGGCAAGCATGCAATCAGCATGTTGAAGCAGTGCGCACCGGGTCCATGCTAATTGTGCTCGTCATCAGACTTTCACGTAGTTTTACTAATTCGTCGCGAGTTGGGGAGAGAGGTCAGTAGTGGGCCCGAATGTCGTAGCGACACTTCGTTGCCACGCGGCCACCATAAGTAGTGTGCGAAGTGAGAACATTATGAGGACACCGGCGCATATGCGGGATAGAAACAGTAACCCGTGGAATAAAAGCCAGGTGTTTAAGCCATTCGGCCACCGGCAGCAGAAGTCAGTACGTGCATGCCACCAGTGACATATGTAGGGTTCTTAATATAGTCTACAGTCACAGTAATAAGTAAAACCAGGGAACAGACACTGAGAAGTAGGTGTTTGGCGAAATAATGGAAAGATATCTTGCTAGGAGCCATATCGTCTGTACAGCAACAAGGAAGTAATTGTGTTGCTCGTATAAAAAATGAACCGGCGGCTACAGTTGTCGGCACATAATCACAAGGTAAAAATCAGTAGTCAGAAGTAAACGACGTGAAGCGGAAGGAAAACAGGATTGGGTCGACAAGCCACTGGTTCTTGGAATCGCAGAATAGTCATTGGCAATTGCGACAGCTGATCGGTTCACGTGCAACAGTATTCGTGTGACTTCTGGTGGCCACAAAACGGGAGCGACTACTTCAAGCAACGGTAAAGCCAATGTTGCTATTCGGAGGTTTGGTCAATCCTGGAGACTGCAGGATGTCAGAAGATCAGTCGAAATACTGTGGAACGGCCGGATAAGATGATTAGGTTGCCTCTGTGTATATACATACTGAGTTGATGGTCAATGACGGTGGGTGAAGCAATCAAGTGTCATCTAGATATCCGAGGAGTGAACACAGTTTCCGTAGTCTAGCGCTGGTCAGGGTTTGCGAATGGTGGATGAACTTCTAGGCGGTATCCTAGGTAAGGTATAGGGATATCCCACTATATGTTCAGTTCCACAGCAACTGTGCGGTTGTGAAACCTGGCCCATCAAGTAGACAAACAAAGATGCTACTTACGTTCGACCATCGCTGCCTTCGCAGCTTAGATTATGTCTGGTGAGAGCATCGCATGAGCAGTATGCGTGTTCGGTGTCACGTATTTGGAGCAGGAAGAGCGAACGAACCACTCAGAACCGTTATATCAAGCAGCGAGTACCGATAACTTGGTCACGTGTTGCGCAACCAGCACACCGAATCTCGCGACGTGCGTTGTTTGCACGTCGGGGTGTGGATGCAAGAAGAGGTAGGGAAACCAAGCGATGACTTGGTAGAGAGAAACAAAGTCCCTCACTACGAGGTTGGCGTCATTGGGGTATCCCGACTGCGGGGGACCGAAGCACGAGGAACACGTTTGGTTGGATACACTAGCCGACATGGCGAAGAGTCGAGTGCAATGGCGTTTGTGTTGTGAGTCAATTTGTTCCTCCTCTTCCCTTTAGCCTCTTCCTCCAACGACGATCACAAATGTGATATTAGCATAACACGTAATTATTGTGCTCAAACTCATCAGACGCAGGAGTGCAAAGAGTAAATTCATTAGAATGAGAACCCAATTGAGGATGACAGGCACTTAATTTACTCTCTAACTCATCGGATTAGAAGCTGGATGGGATGTTTTGGGGGACGATTTTCCTTGTCCGCCGTGTCAGCAGCACTAGTCGAGTATCCTGAGTCTGCATGGGACGCTGATGTAAAGACCTCGTGGCGTGAGGAACCCCGAAGTGGATTTACATTGCTGAGACAACCGGGATACGCGGACATTTAGTTATCGCTGTCGAAAGAACCAGTAACACGTAAGCGATACGCGCAGATGCCCTGCTATCATGCAACTGAAGGTAGTCGTACGTGAACTGGCATGCCGTGAGGGCGTCCAAACCCAAGTCGTAGCGCAGACTTGAACCACGGGTGAGGAGATTGTAAGATTAACCCGGAGTCACGCAACCCCATGAATATTCCACTGTTGTTAAAAGACGCATTGGTTGTCGAGTTACTCGTCCCGATACCCATCAGATGCCGCAAAGTGGAGGTTCCTGCAGACTGGGAATTTTCGGCGGTTGTACTCATACACCGGAACGGGATGTGGGAATCAAACGCATAAGCAGTACACTGGTACACAGTGCGGACGCTTCGTTGCCGCGCAATCACCATCATCATCATCATCATCATCACCATCATCATAATCATCATAATTAAACATGTTAGCTAGAGGTTTAAAACACAGCTATTGTGCCGCAATACATAAAGAAAAAAGTGGAAATACAGCAATTGAAAGCCAGCTGAGGTACCAGCAATGGACGAGCATCGTTCCGGAAAGCTACCAGCCGGCTACTAGGCAACAAGATAAATCACTGTAAAATTATCTTGAGCTACGAAATGAGATCTTGCTTGGAGAGGGAGGATAAAAGGGGTGGGGAGGGGCAAAGAAACTCACAGCAGGAACGCCACTGAGGTCGGCTTCTTGCCATGTAAACAAGTGTATCCAGCCAAACATCTTCGCCTTCCCGACTCCAACCAGGGAATTGAGGCTCTAACCGAGGCCAACTTCGAAGTGAAGGCCTTCATCTCTCTTGATTAAGTCATCACTAACCCTCCCCTACTTCTTCCATCCACAACCCCAGTGAGCAAACAATGCACGTCGCGGGAGTCTGTGGGCTGGCATACGCAACACGTGGCCGAGCCATCAGAGCCTAGTGCGGGAAATAACGGTGCTGAGCGGTTCAGTTCCTTTTCTTGTGCCGTAAATAAGGCGTCGAACACGCTCGTTACTCACGCGGTGTCCCCACCAGATATCAGCCAAACTGCGAAGGTACCAGTGGTCGAACCTAACTAGCCGCTTTATATCTGCTGATCTAAGGGGCCAGGTTTCACAACCGTACAGTAAGCTCGAACGTACCGCTGCATTGTACACTCTACCCTTCAGGTCGAGAATGATGTCGCGCCGCCGCCACAGGTGGCGAAGACTAACAAAAGCACTTCCAGCTTTTGCTATACGGTTCGTGATCTCTTCTTCAATCCAAAAGGAACTGACACAACTATTCAGGTAGTTGAATTTCTAAACGACTTCTAGCTGATTCCCACCAAGGGTCAGCGCAGGAGGCGATCCCTACCAATCTTGGAGGACAACTTTGCACTTCAACGGTGCAAAGCAAAGCCCGAAGCGGCTGACAGCCAGTGCTAATCTGTCCAGTGCAGCTTGGCACGTCGAGAAGCTGTCACAGATGAGGGCAATGTCATCTGCATAATCCAAGTCAAAAAGTCGTTCCCTGAGAGTAGCTACACACCTTCTAAGTCGTGTCCTGTAAATGCTATCTCCATGACTTCGTCAATAGCGAAGTTGAAGAGGAAAGTTGACAACGGGCATCCTAGTCTCACACCGCTGGAGATATTAAAGCGCGGAGATAGCTTGCCGGCTGCTGCGCGCGTATAATGCTCGGATAATATCTATATTTCACTCGGGCACACCTTTCCTGAGTAGATTGTTCTAAAGGGCACATCGATCAACCGAATAGAAGGCACCTTTGATGTCGAGCAACACGACTACGGTGGGCCGCCAATATGTGTGACGATGCTCCAACAACTGGCGCAACGTGAAGATGTGGTCAATGCAGCCACGACCCCGACGAAACCCGGCTTGCTGCTCACGAATCTGGCTTTCACGGGCGCCAGTCAGCCTGTGAAGGATTACAGAAGCAAATAATTTAGTGACGATGGAGACAAGACTGATTCCTCTATGGCTGCCGCATTCTGAACGCGTCTCTTTAGAAGATGGGAACAATAACGGAGCGGCTCCAGTCGGTTTGGACAGTTTCCTGCTCCCACAGTTTCACTAGTAACTCATGTAAATCATCAACAAGAGCAAAGCCCCGAATTTGATGTGGGCTGGCTGTAGATCATCTGGTCCCGCGGCTTTGTTAAACTTCAACAGTCCGATTTCATGTTCCACTTCTGAGCGAGAGAACGGATCCAAAGGGACAGTCCACAGAGCAGGGTGATCACTTGCCGGTGAGGAATCGAACAATTCCGACCGATTAAATTACCTTTCAAAATGATCAGCCCCACGCTTCAAACGCTTTGAAAATTGTGGACAGGCTGCCCACTCTCATCAAAAATTGTTTCACTAACACCAGGTCTCCTGCTGCCCGTTTCAGAGGGAATAACTTACGATGGTCACCAAGGGTAGCGGCCATTTCCATCTCTGTGGCACGAAAAGACCACCATGATTCGCGGTCTCTCTTCAGGCTAGCACGGAGTTCTTTGCGAGTCTCGTTGTGTTCGCTTCCAGCCAGAATATGCCGGCGAGCATCGATAAGTTCCAAAGACTATGAAGAGACCCAATGTCCACGTTGGCTATTAGACTTCCAACATGAGGACTTGCCCGATGCTAGTAAGGTCTGGTGAACAAGCGACCAGTGAGCGTCAATTGTCCCCAGTACGCGCTTACTCAACTCGCATGTCAGCGTACTTTAATAGGCATTCAGAACAGCTGGCTGCGCGAGTTGGCTGGTGTCAATGCGCTCACAGCGTCGTCGTGGGCGTCCGCCAAAACGCATCCGAATGTCAGCACGTACAAGTGCATGATAGGTGTTTACACGTGTGCTCCAAATCGAGCGACAGTTCTGGATGGAGCCTCTCCAGCGGTAACTGATTGCAATGTGGTCGATTTGAGTCCATAGCTGGCTCTAGGCTGGCGGCACCAAGTCACCCTTCGGCGGGTGCTGTGTCGGAAATTAGTGCTCTCAAGAAATAGGCGGGCATCCTCACACAAATGAAGTAACCAGTCATCGTTATCATTACGGGAGCCTACACCTTGCTGACCGCCCAGAAGCATTTCATCAGTGGACAACTTTCCCAATTGTGCGTTCAGATCCCCCGCCAGCACAACAGTGTCCGTGCTTCTTCTGTGTCGAAGGAGCTGTGTCAGTTGGCGGTAGGTCGTTCTTTAAAAAATCATCACTACAGTTTGTGGGAGCGTAGGCACCTATTAATCCCGCGCGACAACGAAGCTTTAAACGAGACAACCAATTGGACCACACACATCCGGCTATTGATTGGGATCCAATCAACGAGAGCAGCTTCAGCCCGGGGACTAAGGGCAATGCCAACACCAGCTTGGCCGGTGCTCGAAGCTGCATCGTCACCGGATAGGCGCAATGAGAAAGAACTGCTTGCGTCACCTGAAGGGGATCGCAGAGTGCGAACTAAGCTCGAGTCTTGCAGGCGGGTCTCCGATAAGCAGCAGATATCGATCGAGAGGGTCTCCAAAGTTCGGGCAAATGCTGCCTGTCGACCGATGTGTAGTAATGTGCGTACCTTGAGGCATGACAATCTGAAGGAGGATCGAGGGTTCCAAATGGAAGTCGATGAACTGGGATGGACCGTTTGGTTAGACATGGGCTTGTCGACAGGACAATAGTGACGCTCCGCATTAGCATGTGAGTTGAAACTAGAAGATAATCGCCTAGTAAAGCACGTTGGTGGAGGGTCAAGAATCGGGGGGTTGAAAACTGGGGAGATAAAAATGAAGTTGGAATGGGACCATAGCGGAGAAAAAGCGCAAGAGGAGGAGTAAGAAGACGGGAAGGTTTGAGCAGCAGTATTCGAACTCCTATCCACCGTGCTCGATGCAGCAGACAGGGCACCGTTGATTATCCTCTGCAATGGCCAGAGCATCAGGAATTTGTTTGAAGAGAGATTCATTATATTGCGTGGGAAAGATACTGTCAGGTTGCCTAGGCCTAGACAGGAGCAACGCTTCCACTGTTATCGGATGAAGCACATAGCTTATTTGCTGACTAAACTGTGCCACTCGACGATTCTAATTACGTGTGCAAATAAGTCAGTCAGACAGCTACGGACTGTCCGGAGGGGCACGAGATGGTTGGTCCGTCCTGTCCGTATTCGACTTCAGAACGCATTTTATTCATCCATGGTGCCAGAATCAGGCTGATGAGTGATTAATATGAACGGCGGAAAGTGAAATGATCGGATAACTAGTTGCGATTTTCGTTTGAGCCTATGAGCATTACAGCAAATGAACAAGTTCTTACTATAATGCGAAGGGAAGTCAATTCGAGGTGTCGCATGAACCAGATGCAAAAGAAACTGTTGCACGCAGAAACAAGGACGTGTCAAGATAATTTAACATAATCAAAAAATTACTTATGTGTAGGATGATATTTGGTGGCATATCATTGATTCATTACACCAACTCGTAAGCAAGCATAATCCCTAATCCAGAAAACACTAAATGGCCGCCTTGGACTAGTGGGGTTAGCCAATGGTACACTATATATACATATATATATATATATATATATATATATATATTTGGTTGGCGGCATCCGGTTTCGGATTTGCCTGTCACTGTGGCCAGCCACAAGACGCCTGCGCCTACAGAGGGACAATGGGTAGCTTGCGCTGCACCATCCACACATCCCTTATCCAGTGTAAACCCGAAGGAATAAGACCGGGAGGCATGTGGATGGGAGCCACGTTTCATCAACGGAGACGGCCCACACTCCATCACAGGCAAACGCAAGTACGCTGCATTTGGGGAATCAAACGCACATGAGACGGTGGCTGGACCGTAGTCGGCTCCACACTGAGTGCATGGAACCACTCTTCGAGTCAAGCACGACCACAAGGACCGTGCAACCCGTCCCTTTCAGCAACGACCAACTGTCTCCTGGAGCCAGATGGACGAGGTAGTGGGTAATAAACAGGTAGGCACCTTGTCAACATGCACATCAAGCGCAGCCACACCGGGGATATCAAACAACAGCCAATCACTTGAGAGAAAGATAGCAAGGAAAATAAATCGAATAATGGATAAGGAAACGTGGCAAAAATCTTAAATTAATGTGCAAATGAAATAAGTTGTTAACAAAGGATCCGAGATAACTTCAAGAGGTTAGAAAGTATATTTTACAAAAATGCTACAATCGCGAAAATATTATCGAAATTAACTGCAATTGGCTTAAGCGAGTTGCGCAGGTTTATAGAACATATGTATATATATATATATATATATATATATATATATATATATTCGACGTGTATGAGAAAGACTGAAAATAAATTTCGTTGCTGATCTGAAACCTTACATTTCTATGACATTACACAAGTTGAAAAAACGCAAGCCGAAGCGTTAACAGAGCACCATTAGTGCTTGAAGTTAAACGCAAGGCTTGTTGAAACGAAGACGGAGAACTTAAGATCAGAATTAGCACTAACACACGGACTGAACTGAAGTACAATAAAGATCCTGGTGTAACGTTTAAGGCGAAACCCAACGTTCGATAAACGTGTGCACTGAGGCACAGCAAATATCGTGCTAAAGATTTTTGGGCTTACTGTCAGACTGCACAGTGCTTCCAGTAAGTTCAGATATGAGAGTCGTCAGGTGCTGATGTAACGCTTCGACCGTGTCTTCTTCGACCAGTTCAAAGCGTTGTTTAATCTCCTTCGGAACGATCTGGATGAGACGATCGAGTTGCTGTTTCCCATCTGCTGCTTGGCTAACAGTTTTGCCCCATTCGGGGACCACGATGCCGGAGTTTTCATCAGACAATGTCAGTGAAATGCAACGAGATCCACGCAACAGATTGCGAGCCAACAAGGTGACATCTCGAGGAAATGTAGCACTATAGAAGCAAGTCTGTCGTTCTGCACCGCGCGGTGGAGGCATTCCAAATTTCGGTGACTGCAAAATCTCCCTGAGTTGCTCCTCGAATCCCATATCGAGCAAACGATCTGCTTCATCTACAACCAATGACCTGAGATAGGATGGAAAGCGAATGAATTGGTATTGTGCGTGAAAGTAAAAATATCATAGCGTTGCACCAGAAGTTTCAAAACATCAAGGCGGTAGGCAACATCAAAACCACTACTAGTAAGCAACAAGGTTGCTACTGACCTAAAAATGTTTCAATCTGAAGTATCATGGTGCGTTGAAGACGAAGATGATAAGGAAAAATGTCGATTGACTCTCGTTTTGATGATATTTCGTATCGTTCATTTTCAATGTCTCATTGTGTAAGCTCATCTAACATCATTGCAATAACATCCCAAATAAGTCTAGAATAGTGCAACATCTTATGATACTATCATGTACACCTTATACAGGGTTAATTGCATAATTTGCTGATACATGGCAGTGTTACTCTCAGGCTCCTGACGAGGCACACTGTAGTCAGCAGTATACTATATAAAGCCCAGTGGGAAATGTGGAGCATTATAAATATGAGAAACTTCGTAAAATAGTTTGTGCCATTGTTACACAGAAACTCCAATGGTTTACTTATTTCTTCAGTTAAAAGAAGGAAGCCGGTGTATCGAGGTTGCAATCCCGTCATCATCATCATCATACACGTTAGCTAGAGGTGGGGAACACCTCAGCTACTGTGCCGCAATACACAGATAAAAAGGAGAGAAAAAGGAATTCCAATGGGGTAAGCCGGCTGAGCTACCGGTAACGGATGGACATCGTTCCGGTAAGCTACCAGCCGGCTACTATGCATCAGAAAAAAATTACTATGCAAAAATATATGTTAAATTATGAGATCGTGGTTGGAGGGGGAGGCTAAGAGGGATGGGGTGGGACAAAGAGACTCACAGCACGAAAGCCACTGAGGTCGGCTCCTTGCCATATCAGCAAGTGTGTCCAACCAAACGTGTTCATCGTCTTTCGGACCCCAACCAGGGAGCCGAGACGCTCCAACAGAGGCCAGCTCAGAAGTGAGGGTTTTCATTCTTCTGAACCAAGTCATCGCTTGGCCACCCCTCCTCTTCTTCCATCCACACCCCCGGCGCGCAAACAACACACGTCGCGGAAGTCGGTGGGCTGGCATGCGTAACACGTGGCCGAGCCATCGGAGCCTGATGCGTGAAATCACGGTGCTGAGCGGTTCATTTCCTTTTCCGGTGCCATAAACAAGGCGTCGAACACGCTCGTTGCTCACGCGGTGTTCCCACCAAATGTGAGCTAAATTACGAAGGCACCGGTGGTCGAACGTAACTAGCCTCTTCAGGTCCGCTGCTTTAAGCGGCCAGGTTTCACAACAGTACAATAGGGTCGAACGTACTGCTGCATTGTACACTCTACCCTTTAGGGCAAGAGTGATGTCGCGCCGGCGCCATAAGTGGCGAAGGTTAGCAAAAGCGCCCCGAGCTTTTGCTATACGATTCGTGACTTCATCTTCAATCCCACGGACGCTGATACAACTTCCCAGGTAGTTGAATTTTTGAACGACTTCAACCTGATCCCCACCAAGGGTCAGCGCAGGAGGCGGTCCAGACCAATCTTGGAGGAACGCTTTGCACTTCGAAGGTGCGAAGCAAAGCCCGAAGTGACGGACAGCTAGTGCTAATCTGTCCAGTGCCGCTTGGCACGTTTGTGAGCTGTCACAGATCAGGGCAATATCATCAACATACTTTAAATCAATCCCGTGGACAATGTTTGCTACATTTGTCGGGAAGTTATGTTTGTCATCTGGAAGAAAGGTATCATTGCCCAAGTGAAGAAGGCGAGCATCTTTACTTCGGGTACAGGATTGGCGAGCAGCGCAAGCCTTTGGACTTACATATGTGCTACATTCACAACACAGCTTTCACGGCGGTTGAACCGTAAAAGACCATCACTGTCACTTGCAGTTACCATGGTGTGAAGAGAGTCGGGCAACAACACAAATGACCGATAGTTTTAGATTGCGAAGAACGTGCACTATATATCCGGCACGAGACTAGACGGCCAACCAAAAGCAATGGGTAGAACACACAAATTAGGCTAGGGAAAAAGTTTGTTGGATGGGAGGAGGGTTAGTTAATGTTAAAAATAGAGAACCAAAAGAGAGCTAGCTAGGGAGGATGCAGTTGGGCGTCGAGTGCGTGGGCGGAGCGTCGTTCGCAGTCGAGTCGCGCGCCAAAGGCGGAGATCGTATTCGTGTTTCAAACAAACGGGAACAACATCGCAACAGGCAAACCGCCTAATTGCGTAATACATAATAAAGCTATAATTGTAATATATTTTAGAATCGTTTACAGTCCTACGGGGAATCAGCAGGTCACTACACTTTGGCTTGATTCCACTTTTTTCCAGCGGGATAACGAGGCAACATTCCGTCGGCAATGAGACCAGTGACATAGTGAGGGACGTCAAATTCATGAATACTTCGTAATTAACTTGTGGCTCGCCCATAAGAATGGAGACAATTTGTCGACTCTGCTAAACTTACACTTAAGGTGGCGCTAGTGCACAACAGAAAACATATTCCATGCATAGCAGAAGCGCACGCTGTCCATATGAAAGAGACGTATGATAAGTTAAGCAGCTGTTGAATTCCATTACAATGAGCACAGCTGTTTGAAGATAATTGCAGCTGAGATACACAAAACACCCACTGTTTCTTACGCGAGTAGGATAGCCGAGCAAGCCATTTATACTACTTACGGAGGGAATGGACGCGCGGACAAAGTTCAACAGTTGTAGAGAAGAATATCTAGCACCCAACTCTGGTCGAGGTTCACAATATCCTACTATCATGCCTACACATGAAACCATACTTCATGGAGAACTTCGTGGAAGCTATGGACCGGACTACCTCAGCGTTCCGATATCCGTACCAAAAACGCCCACGATTTAGCGAAGTGAAGAATAAAGATGTTATGAATCCACAGATTCGACAGCTATCCAGCAGACCATGTGAATTGTTTTCTCGGGAATGTTAGGATATACAACTATAAGGAACTAGTGAAAGATATGTTAAAGCAGTGTCAGAAAAGTGGAAGGAAAATGACGGTGAAGTCTCACCTTCATCGTTCCCATCTGGATTTCTTCCCTGACAACTGCGGTATACTTAGTGATGAACATAGTGAACAACGATGGAAAAATGCTACCATGGAAAATAATCACTAGCATTAGAACCAGAGATGCTCGGGAATAAATGCACAAGAGACAATTAAAGAAAGCTAAGAAGCAGTCCACTCTTAAAGGTGTTAACCTTATTACATAAAAATATAGCCATGCATTTGATGATGTGAACAAGCATTGCGCATTAAAAACTAGACATAATTCGTATTTTGACTGTTTGTATTTCTGCTCAGCAAATAAACATCGACATTATTTCAGTAACGTGACTTTTGTAAACATTTGTTGCTCAACGACAGTTACCTACTGAAATAAGGTTCCAGTAACCAAATTAACCGATCTTCACTTCAAAGTGAATCAAGATCCTAACTGAGATCACGTGGAGAAATCCCAACGCACATACTGTACATCAAAATGACTCCAGCAATCAGATTCACACTTGCGTTTGGTACGGTTGTAAGTGCCTGCACAGATGGAACCGGTATTCATCTACATCCGCTACTCCGTCGTTGATGGACACTGTCATAATTCAAAACGTGGTCGGTTGCACAAAAACCTGATCCCATAGGCAGTCAGATGAAACGCTGCGACTACATTGAAGCGTCCGGTGCGTTGACGATACACAGTAGTGTGTAGTATTTATGGTGGTGGCTAGGAAGGACGTATGCGGTGAAGATAAATATAGGTACGTGGACTAGATCACTGGATTGAGCACGGTGAAAAATAAATCAGCCGGCCAAATGTCCCGAAAGTGTTAATGGGGGGCACACCAATTTACATGGGACATGAGATCGAACACGAGTTGGTAATGCTTAGGTGGGGCAAGCCATCTGGCCCGGATGAACATCGACTGACACTGTTGAAGATGGCGAGTAATTAGTGGCTTCTGAAGCAACCCACTTTGATATTATTTGAAGCAGGGAGGAAGTGCGCCCGATTGTCGACTATAAAATACCATGTTTACATCTTACAAGCACCGAGAACCTTCCTGTGAACATCAGCGTGGTACCCTTCTTCCGCCTGGCCAATCGGATAGCACCACTTCGGCTGACAGAACCATGGATACTGTAACTACCACTACGTCGATTTACTCTGCTCCTGCAATCCTCACCGAGAACGCACCTCCATCACACAACAATCTTATCTTCGGAAGTAGATGCAAATACTTCCGACACCAGCGAAGCCGATGTTAAAAAGTCCGGCTATTAACCCTTCTTCGACCTCAGTCTCCATTCCAGTTGGCAGCCTCCAACGTTTGAATCCTTATGTAGATCGGAAGAAGGCTGGCTTAGCGCCACAATATTCAAGTGTTGTTACAGTTGCTAGTAACTGCTTGTGCCAATACTTCGCTCTGAAAGGCGTATCAGAGGTGTTACTCTGAAATCTATACATGGGTCGTGAAAGAGCTAGGAGGAAACGCGCCTTTGGTTCCGCCAAGACAAGTGGAATGTGTCAGCATTACTTGGTTTCCCCATTTCTCTTTATAAGCTAAGCGCGTATGAATGACTGTTTCCATCAACTCCTGAGGCAGAGGTTCCTTTTGGCGACAGACTGTGGATTGCACACGGCTGTTATGCAAGTTCCGTAGAATACGGTGTGCTCTGCACCTTCAAAGTGTAACGTTTACTAAAGGATCGGTGCAATATGCCTCCAGCTTATACAACAGTGTGGCAACCGCTTTAAATGGTCGATGAATATACTTAGTTAGATGTCTGTACCAACTATGCTGGTCGCGTCGCTGGGACTAACGAATGCATTATCAAGGTATTACAAAACACCAGTCCGTTAGGCAGGCGACGGGCATGAGCCTAGTGGTATCCGGGATTAACTACAAATTTCCGGAAAATCAAAAATATATATATCAAAATATATCAATGTAAATATGAGTTGGGCCAATGGTGCACAGTCGAA